AAATAATACAAAATTATCAGGAACGAAATAATAAAAAAAAAAAAAAAAAAAAAAAAATATAAAAGTAAAGTTTAGAAAAGAGGTTCGGGTACCTTAGGATCAGAAGACATTCCTGAGAAGATATCTCGCGCATGCACACAAAGCAGACGATTATCTTAAGTATGAATTTTCAGTGATCGTTCGAGGAACTTTCGACCTTAACGTTTCCTCTTAGGTCTGACGTTAGAAAAGAATAGAAAGTAAATAGGAAGGAAAGAGAAAGAATGACGACAGATGAAGAGAGAGAGAGAGAGAGAGAGAGAGAGAGAAAGAAAAAAAGAAAGAAAGAGAAAGAGATAGTATAGTTGAGAAAGAGGAAGGAAGAAAAGAGATGGAAGAGGTGGAACAAGAGTAAGAGGGAAAAAGAGGGATGAATGAGGATAAGGGGAGTTAGAGGAAAGGGTACGAGTTAAATATCTCTCTCGAGCGAATAGAAGGAGAAAGGAGGAATCGGTCGGCACATGGGTCTCTCACTTCGGGTCGATACTCTAGCACTGGAGTGAACGCTCAGTACACTTGCACTCGGCCGAGTACGTTTGCACCGGGAATTGCCTGCCTGCCTGCCAGCCTGCTTGCTTGCCTGGCCGCTAGCCCTGGCCGCTGCTCTTGTGCGTAACACTAGAGCGAATTCTCATTGGTGACAGGGGGTGAAGAGAGGTGAGAGAGATGGGTGGGGGGAGGGAGGAAACAACCTCTCGCATTGCTAGTGAATGAAAGATCGACATTTTTTGAATTCTTTTCTTATTCCTTTTTTCTTCTTCATCACGCAAATGTCTTCTTCTTCTTCTTCTTTCTATTCTTTCTAATTTCTCTTTTATTATTTATTATTTTTATTACAGATCAATCCTTTTGTTTTTCTTCCTGTTTTTTTTTTTTTTTCATTGAGATTACTTGAAAGAAATACAATTTAAATTGGAGTAATATGGGATCTGTAAAATATGAATGGAAATATTAACAACATTCTCTGGAAATATTGATCTTATTTTGGATGAAACGATAAAAATGAATATTAAATTGTAGATATGTGTTTATAATTTGATGTTTTAAAAGGGATGATAAAAATGTTGGAATTTTAATCACCCACAATCGATATCATTGTTTTTGATAAATAGTCTTGAGACGGTTAACGGTTATGTATGATAATATTTACCTAATGTCAAACGCAAAGAATTATTTGATTTCGTTTATTAATCGATCGATAAAATACATTTTTAGGCCGATCTCTAAATAAATGATAAGTTCGATCGTCGATACACCTTATTTATATTGTTCTTTCGAAGCCGTTAAAGTAACAAGGGTAGTGTCTCTGAATTATTTCATCCTGGAAATGATGTATATTTGTATATATATATATATATAATACAATGACGTAAGCATTGCCGAACAAATAAATTCAAAGTTGATATCTGATTAAATCGCAATTTCTTTTCCTATCTTTCGCACCTGAAAATATGATAAAACGTTAGAACATTAATCTTCATATATTTCCTGTATAAATAAAGATTTCTAAATGAAAATCATGGAATGAAATATATTTAAAATGATTAAACAATTTTAGGACGGATCACACTTCAGGTAGATTATAATTTATATATATATATATATATATATATTTTAAAAGCCGAGTGAATATCGAAGGCTAATGGCCCCCTGTTACTACGTGGAAGAGGAGAGAAGAAAAAAGAGAATAAAGAAAGAAAAAGAATAAAATACTTTCGTCTATAGCTGTAGAAGCATCTTGAAGAATTTTATCTCCAAGTGGAAAGAAGAGTCCCAGCAGCACCTTTCAGAAGAAACATATGTCTACTGTTGTGTATATATGTACTTTACATTGTACATACATATATATATATGTATACTCTATTTTACGCGAGCAAAGGTATATATTGCACCTACGTGGATAAAAAAAGATAACATACGTGTAAGTATACCCTACCTGCAGTATACGTTTACAATCTGTATATACATATATGAGCTTCAGTATGCACGCGACACAACACAACCCTTCTTCTTTCACGCAGGGCAACCTTTGTCTACTGTCAAAGCATATCGATTGCAAGTTGTATCCCATGGAAGCCCTTTACAACGCCGACATCAACAACTACATCACTTGAAAGCACAAATTTTAAATTTAATTCAATGCATTGTCTACAATTTTTTGATTGTTTATTCATTCTATTTGATAAGCTAATTTAATAGTTTCGTATGTGTACTCATAATGTTCCCATTAAAAGAATTACAATTATTATTATTATTAATATAATATACAAATAATATTCTCAAATTAATAAAAAACAGACATATGTATACCTTCTTATTATATATTAATTTGTTTACTTATATTATACTTAAGGGGTATATCATATATACCTTCTTATTAAAATTTAATATAGATTAGTTTAATAGACAAAAAGTCATCTTCTATTTTTTTCAAACATTGATTTTTTCTTTTCTCATCGAGATGATCTGTCTGATCTTATTGTAATGTACACAAATACGTAAATCGTAGTTTCATTCCTAGCGATGAATATTTATCACAGATTCACTTACCAACGGAAATCCCGGAGAAGCACTCGGAATCATTACTCGGATCCATTGAAAGTCATCGTGTATGATCCTTCCGAGTTTGTGATTAAATTCGTCGAATGAAAGAGGTAGCACGGCATAACGAGTTTGCCGTATCCTTTAAAATACGTCTTTTGTTTCTTTTCACGTTCGATGAAACTTCGTTAGACGACCTTGATAAAAGAACACCTTCAAACGTGTGTGTGTGTGTGTGTGTGAAAAATAATCTTGAAACAATAAAAAAAATTAATAAGCGTTAAAATAATTATTTAAACAGATAACAAGATGGTATAGAATTTTAATCACACAAATTCATTTTTATTTAATTAATATCTTAGATATCTTCCTACGAAATGTTGCAATTTTTTTTAAGTATTATTTTTATAATAATATAAGATTATTGTAATATAAAAAAAAATATAATTATTTAGATTGGATCAATATTACGATACACGACAATAAATAATTTAACAACTATCTTATATAACGAATCTTTGTTTTTACAATATTCAACCTTTTTAACGTCACTTTGACATCACTGCGTCATTCGATGAGAAGAAAAACAAAAAATAAATGATAAATATATGTTAGACAGAACTGACTATTCATTTTTTACAGAAAGAAGAAGAAGGAGAAGAAGAAGAAGAAGAAGAAAATGCAGGAGCATAATTCATAGTTAGAAAATTAGATATAAAAGTCAAGTAGTATATTATTATTAGTAGCATCTTTTTGTTTTTCATTTAGCGCATACTTCCGTTTAGTTTTCTTCTTTGTACCGGATATTTCGTTCTTGAACGTATCAGTACAGCCGCACTGAATTCTTTGTATAGATCGATTTCATAATTAGGTTCTTACTCATCTAATAGAAACTTCGATTTGTTAGTACAATCATAATAAATAACAAAGAAATTTTCTACGAATATATAAACCTCCTTTAAAAAAGAGAATGAATAAATATATATTATAATTATTATATTATAATACTAATTAATGATTAATAAATAAATATATATATTTATCTATAAATAATAAATTACCTATAAAATAATTGTATAGATATTTACTGTTATATTTATATATAAAGCATATATATATAATTTATAAATTTTGAAAAAAAAGAATGAATGAAAAAAAAAATTATCACAATTGAAAAATTCCAACGATAAAAACATAATGATTGTGTTAAATCAGCACATTTATTCATACGTAATCGGTTGCTCTATAATGTAACTTCTATTTTTGACTATAGTATGTACGTCTGTCTAAACCGCGACGATAGAAATGTATGTGCAAATATGTTGGCCAAGTAAAAATAAATGGAGCACACATGTATCGTATTGTTTGGGTTTCTCGACATGATGCTATTATTTCAAAATATAGATTTATACACACACACACGTGCATATATATATATATATTTATATTAAAATTATTAATGTCCGTAAAAATGGATTTGAATTTATTGCATGTATCCTAATAAGATCATATATAAGTTACAAATGAACATACATATTTCTATGTTACATATTTTTATGAATTCTTTACTTTTTATATGTAAAATGAGAACAAAACGTGTCCTCTTTCTCGCCTACTTTTTGTTACGATATAACATGTGTATATAAATGTAAGTAAATGTTATATATATGTATATACATGAAAATTTTTCAAATAATAAATTGGAATTATCAAACAACGAGGATGATGATGATGATGATTCATACTTATCATCTTTGTATTTATGCTAAAATTAATAACAGATCGAAACAAAGTCTAACGATTAAGACTTATAATAAAAAGCAATTATCCAGAATGATTCAAAGTTATCACAAAGACTAAACCATATGGGTTAAAAAGATATAGCGTAGAAGACGTTTATGGTTGAACACGTGATCGGTGTCCGAATAATAAACGATCGATACCATCTGGTATAAGAGAAGGACGTTAACATGTTGAACGTTCGATATAATCTATCGATTCATGGTGCAAAAATAATAATGACAGCTCATACTTAAGTAAGTGAGTACTACTTTACTACAAAAGGTGGAAAAAGATAATTATAGAATTACATGGATACATTGGACAAATGTCTTCTAGGATTCCTTATATACTTTTTCATGAGATTCCAAATGATTTAGTATAATTCTGAATTTGTTCCGTTTTCTTTTTTTTGCAAATTGTCTTAAACTAACTGCAAACGCGTAAAAACGTTACAGTTAGATCTTAAATTTATATTACGACTAAAATTTTAAGTTAATTTTTGTTCATCAATTTGTTAAATTACAAGGATATAAATTTTGGACTGATCTAGGAATTTTGTGCCAATTCTGTATAAACATGAACAACTATAGAAGTTTAATTTCAACATTGTTAAATTAAAACGATCTTTTGCAATACTTTCTCGCTTGCTAGCTAACACTTTCGTGGCTTCGCAACTTAAATATTATACTATATGTATAATAGCAAAATCTTGTTTCATAGATTTGATTAAGTGTTATTTTAACAGGGACTTTAAATAATATATCTGCAATAAATCGTCGATTGCTGGGATCAATTATTCTTAATATAATCTGTAGATTACCTTTTATCCTACAACAATTTTATTATTAACATAATTATTATTATTATTATTATTATTATTATTATCAATTATTATTCTACAAATTTTGAATTTTGTCATTAGAATATCAAACGATGATTCGTAAACGTATGATAATTCATACATTTATACATTTATGTAAATAATCTTTTTATCTGTTACAAAATGGTAATAAAAAAAAGACGATTAATAGATAAGCGTTAGCGTAAACATTATGCTTGCGGAAATAACTGGTTGGTGCAGATGTACTCGAGGTAACATATCCGCTGACTATGACCGGTGAAAGTACAAGTCCGTTCAAAGTCATTAAAATCAAGGAGAACGAATGGCAATTCCTTGATTTTTTTTATGTTCTTTTCTAATATTGCTTAACAACATCTGTATCTCTTTAATAATTATAATCATGTACTCTCTTGTCGAGAGACTTCACGATGAGTCGGACTTCATCCTTTTTCGATTAGGCTTTTGTATTTGATTAAAGTGGATACTTTTCTTTTTCTTCGAGAGATAAGTTACTTCGAGTAGCTTATCGCATGATAGATATTACATTATTATCTTATTTTCTTTTTTTCGAAAAACATGCCGGAAATTATTCGGAAATGAGACATTGTTTGTCGTGGAATTTGATACTCTAATAATTATATGATGAAATGACTTCAAGCAACGATATAAGCATCCTTCCGTTCATATTTGGTGTTCTTGTAAAGTGATTAATTTCTGTTTGAATAATGGAACTTCTATTCATGATGAGTATCGTTTAATCGATATTACGGAAAAGATAATTGCAAAACACATTGAAGTTTTAAAATTGAAATTTTTATTATAATAAATAATAATCATTACACTATCTCGTATTGTTCGATTTAAATATTCAACTTGAAAGGAGCTTAGAGTTTTCAACGTAAGATGGCAATACTTATACGTTTGCCATTTAATAGCAACGATGCACATGCATCCGTATATTTAAATATGCAACAAATAATTAATTTATTGAAATAATAGAAAACGATATATTAATTAATTAGCAACAAAGTAATAAATCAAATAAACATATATATATATATATATATATATAAATACTCGCTGTTTGTATAAATTTATATAAATTTATATATATAAATATATAATTAATAACGGATAAAAATTGATATAAAAATTGTATGCATCTTCCGACATATCAACGAGGACACAGTTCAAGGGTCAAAAATGACTAATGAACAATTACAAAGCATTCGTTTGTAAATTGAACAATGAATAACGAGCTATACAAATATACTATACGCGTACGTGTGATCAAATCCGATAGTGAGAATCACAAAGAGCTCACCTTGATCGGTACTAAGAAAAGTATACTCTATTTAAAATGTAGCTAAAACTGCATCTATGATTTAAAATAACAAATGTCTTTAGAAATGTACGTATATAAATATGTGTATCCGAATTAAATTAAAATATATATATGTATATGCATCTGAACTCGTTTAATTATTTCCCCTTTATCATAAATTATTATTAATTATGATCAATATTTTTTAATAATATGTCAAGTTGATTGGTTCAAAGGTAAATATATACTATACAAAGAGCTTTAACCAGCGGTACCACTACTATTTGCTGGGCGTCGGTATCTTTTGTCTTTTAAAAAATAAACCTCCTACTACCCGTCTTCATCCTTTTCATCTTACATATTCTAAGGACGTTCACTATCGCATTTTATAATGTCGTAAGAAAATGAACAAAACGTTGATATTCTTAAGATTGTTAAACGTCGCATGGATTTTCTCTTGATTATTATTATCATACGATCGGAACATTTCAAAAGATAGTATTGTAACGGGTTTGGTATCACAGTTGCATTGTGTGGTAGGGATGTGTTGAGAAATTAGATCAACCTGTCAGTGTTTCATACGAACCATCATTGTACGTGTACTTTGAGATGTCCGAAACGACGGAGCAGGGAATGGTGAGATTATTTTTCTACATTAATAAATATTTTGTTATCAATCATTATAAACGCACATTCTCTTCTATATCAACGACGTATACTGCATTTTATTTAGACATGTCTCTTGAATTCGAGAATGACGTACCACATCGAACACACCCGCCCACATGTTTTTGTCCTATCAAATGTCAACAACAATGTATAAGAGAGAGAAAAACGTAGGGAAATCATTTTTCAAATTTCATATCTTCGCTCATAATTTATCTTTTATGTTCAATTATTATTTTTATATTATTCGATCATACGATTTTACATTTTTTTAATTTCTGTGTATCAAACTTGTAACGCTGTAAACATTGCTTTGAGGTTAGTTTGTTCCTTTTGTATTATATGCGCGAACGTTTATGGTATTTAAATGGTAAAGTTTTATCAGTGATTAAAATCGAAGTACATGAAAATAATTACACGATATTATGTTATTACTTTTATGGATACAATATTAAATAGAATGTTATTTATAGGATTATTATCTGCTTATAAGAAAATTATTAATATATTTTATGTTGAGACATGACTCATGCATTTTGATATTAATGTAAAATTAAAATATTGTGCAAGAACCATTCACATTTTTATTTCATTATGGAAGTGTCCTTTTTTTATTTTTAGGAACTCTCCATCTACACTGGAGTTGTACTGCGTGGATCTAATACCAAAGAGGATGAAGTTCACAGTTCGGGTACTTTGAATATTGTTGAATATGTAAGAAAATAAATATCTATTATTATTATTATTTATTCTTATATTTACATATATATGATAAGTGAATGTAATATGAATTTCTTTGATATGCGTTATTAGAGTTTTGGCAAATGCATAGAATGGAGACCTACAGAAGAATCTGTCGTACTAGAGAATCAAGATCAAGATCCAGAATGGTCTTTAGTAGATACTCATACAAGAAGAACACGTACTACTTCGGAAGGTGCAGACTCTTATGGACATTCAAAGATAGTTAGAATATTATTCTCCGACTTAAAATCATTTCGTATTAATCTTGGAGGACAGCAGCTTATATTTATACAAAAGGATGGTACCACCTATGTTGCCTTCTTTCAATTGTCTAAAGCTGAAACTTTTGTTAATACGTTAAAGAATTTTATTAACTTTAGAAGCTCAACGAAAGACAAAAACTTGTATTATGTATTGGAAGAGGTCGAAACTGCTTTGAACAAATCTTTTGCTGAATTGAATTTATTTCAAGAGAATACTTCGGATTATGTATGGAATTTTGTTAAAAATTTACATAACCGTCCATATGAAACTACATTAGAAGCATTCAGTAAATTAGCGGATATTTGGTGTAAGTTAATACACAAAAATTCATTTTATAATAAATATCCCAATAAAATATGGCATAAAAAATTAGTTATATATTTCAGTATACAAAGAACCAGTAAAAAGACCGGTCGAAGAAGCGGTAGCTGATTTACTTAATTCTTCCTTATCGAGTAATCAACAGGAACCTGTGGATGAATATGAAGTGATAGGACAGGCAGATATAGGTTTACCATTTCCACCAAGACCTCCATGTCCGAGAGGTACACTTTGTAAAATTAAATCTTATACAAAAATCATTTACAAAGAAGCTTATTAATGACTCTTTAACTGTTAGGTTTACCTTTATCGCAAGAGCAATGGGACAGTAGCAAAGATTCAGAAGGAAGAATTTTTGACGCAGATGCTGTTAAAGAAATAATTTTTCGAGGGGTCTGTATATTAAATCCACTTCAAATGTCCTCTTTTATATCGATGCTAATAACAATAATATTTTTTAAACTCTTAGGGTATACATCCACCATTGCGTTATGAAGTCTGGAAATTTTTATTAAATTATTATCCATGGAATTCAAGTCACATTGAGAGAATGGAAATAAGAAGAAAGAAAACTGATGAGTACTTTAATATGAAACTTCAATGGCGGTCTATGACGCTAGCACAAGAAAATCGTTTTTCAGACTTTCGGGACAGGAAAAACTTGATAGGTAATCTAAAACAAAATATTAATTGTAAAAAAACTATTTATCAGCAATATATTAATTTGATTTCTTTGAATTTATAGAAAAAGATGTTAACAGAACGGATAGAACGCATCCCTACTTTCTAGGCGACAATAATCATCTAGAAATATTAAATGACATACTCATGACTTATGTAATGTACAATTTTGATTTAGGATATGTCCAAGGTATGAGTGATCTACTCAGTCCTATTTTATGTTTGATGGATTGCGAAGCGGATGCTTTTTGGTGTTTTGTTGGTTTTATGGATAAAGTGGTAAATATTTGATTATTTATTATTACAAATTATTACACATTTCTCATTGTAATAAATTAATCTTTTTCTTTTTCCTTAAAAACAGAGTACAAATTTCGAAATGGATCAGTCTGGAATGAAAACGCAGTTACGTAATATACATACTTTACTATACAATATGGATCGACAATTGGAACACTATTTAACTCAACACGAATCTGGAAATATGTTCTTCTGCTTTCGTTGGTTACTAGTACTATTCAAAAGAGAATTTAGTTCATCTGACATAATGAAGCTGTGGGAAATTTTATGGACTGGTTTGCCATGTCCTAATTTTCATTTACTCATATGTGTAGCTATATTAGATACTGAAAGAAATGTATTGTTAAAAAGTAATTTTGGCTTTACGGAAATACTCAAAGTAAGTAACAGTCTATCGTGAATAATTTAAATAATCATGAGTTAATAACAGTTATTTGTTTGTATTTTTTAGCATATAAATGATCTTTCTCTACACATTGAACTACAATCGACGCTTTCCAAAGCAGAAGGTATTTATTATCAATTAATGACGATGGAAAACAAACTGCCGAACAAGGTGCGTGCAATTATTGGATTGGAGCCCCGAGAACGAACATCAGATGAAAGCGATATAGAAGAAAATATAATAGATGCGGCTAGCTCTTCTATTAGAACAAGTTCTAGACGAAACAGTTCGGAAAGTGTAACGGTCCAGCATGGTAATAACGAAAAGTCTTTCGAAAAAGGTCTGAACTTTTTTCTATAAGATGAAGATCGTGGTCTATCTTCACAGTTTTATGTTTATGAACATCTATGAAAAAAAAAAAAAACAACTCTAGCCTAGTAGAACACACAAAAGATTTATTCTATTATCATTTTTCTCTCTTCCTCTCACTCTTTTTCTCTATCTCTGTCATTCTTTTAATTTTTTAAAAACATGATCTCGTGTTTAGCTTTCAACGAAAAATTAGATTGCACAAAAGAAAAAACGAAAGAAACGAAACATTGATAATAAAATAAAAACAAGGACGTAACTCGAGTTTTTTCTCCGATCATTTTCTAATCGTTGGCATCCTATTAGGTATAATAAGAAAAAAACAAAAAAAATGAAAAAAAAGAAAGAAATATTTGTTTTCTTTTTGAATTTGCAATTTTGACGTAAGTGTAAATGTAAAAATTTATATCATATTTGCAAGAAACGAAAAAGAAAAATAAAAGAAAAAAGAAACACATTACTAGTAGCGTTGAATTTTGAGATATTTATAATGAATTTTGCTATATTTAATAAGAAATTTATTAATAATTGATGTGAGACTACTACTTCGACGGAGGAATATTAAACGAATTGTTCGAGTTGACTATAATTATATCATTCTATCAAAAACTTTGCATAAAGTTTGAATATCAAAAGGGAACAATGATACTAAACTTTTATCTTTTAACAGCGCAGTAAATCAAATCTTATTTTTGAGTTTAAATAATGTTTTCTTAGATTTTTATGAAGTCTCACAAAAGCGCTGTATATTTCTAATAAAGTCACCTATTTAATCTTATGAATTTCTTTTTTCATTTAATCTCCCTTTTCTTTTTTTTGTTCTTTTCGTTTTTTTCTTTTAAACCTATTTTTTTTTAATCAGCAAAGAGTATGAATAATTAAAAAGAAAATTGCAATTTTTATCTGATTATTAAAAAATAATAAAAGAAAAAAGTAACTAATGTGTTTGAAATTGTTTTCTTTGAATTAAAGCTATTATTTATTTATAATTATATAATTACTGTTAATAATTATTACATTCAAAAATATAATACGTACGTAAGTGATATTTATATTATTTCGAAAATGTTGATAACGAACAGATCGTGGTAGCAAAATAGAAAGAAGTTTTAACAAACAGTTAACGGCTCGTAGCCATGTTCTTTTTTTTAAATACATAGTCAAGAAGACAATTGGTAAAAAAAAAAAAGATAACATATTAAACGATAGTGAAAAAAAAAAACCAGAAATATTATCTGAAGCTTTAGAATAATAAAAATAGTGCACATATGCAAGCAAACATATCTTATTTAAGTGATTCTTGCATTTGAAGCATGGGGGCGCATTGCAACAGCTGCCTTTTAAAAGATACGATAAGAAAAAAAAATAAAAAATAAATCCTATATATAAACAATGAAGTTTTTTTATATTGACATAAATATATAACCAACGTTGCTAAAATATATTTCAAAGATTTTTCTAGTATGGAATTTCTATCTGCGAGAAGAAATAGAAATCGAAGGAAGAAACGTAATTTAAAGAGACGCCAACGCGGATGTATGAAGTTTGAGGTTAGGTCATTTAAAAGTCAAAGATTAATAAAAGAACGTGCTAATGTTAATTTTAATAAAGAAGAAGTAATAATAGAAGACACGATGCAAGCTGATGCGTTTTGGAAAAATTATGTGGCTGCTCAAGAGTGGCAAAAAAGGTATTATATAAAATAAGAAAAATAATTAATTTTTATTATTTTGTTTCTGGTCATTTTAAATTATCTAGTGATTCGTATTGATAATATTTTTTTTTTTTTTATTATTTGTACAATAAGTGTTTAGTGCTCATTTTTTGTTTATATATTTTTATATATAATTTTTAATATTATCTTGTCTTTTTTATCATAGAGAGAGATTTGGATTAGAACTAATTTTTATTTATCTGTACCATTAATGTAGTATAGTATTTATTTGAACATATCTATTTTTATGTTTATAGGCACAGCGTAACGTGGTGGAGATCTCGGTGTCTAGCATTGGAAAATGAGAATGAAATATTACGAAATAAAATTAGGTCTTTAATTGGACTGAATAATAAACAAACTAATGACATCCAGACTGTTTATAAGCGACAACAGAATACTTATAAACAAAATAAAAATTTTCGTGAAAATTACAAAAAACAAGAATATCAAGGCGAAGAAGATTTAGAATTTCATGTTGATGAGGATATGAAGACCTTTTTGGAACAAAGTTTACGACATCAAATGGAATTGAAACAAAAGCGAGAACAAGAGTTAGCTGCTATCGAAAAGGAAACTGTAGCTTTTATAAAAAATGGAGTAATTTGTAATCAAACTCGAAATGAAAATGCAAAATTATTGTATGGAGATGCTGGTCCTACAATAATGGCTATGGAAACTGCATTAATAGCGACAATAGAAAGACACAAAGATAAATCAAAACCTCAGTATTGGCCAAATATTCCTTTAAGACTATAAAATATTTTCCTTTTCCTTTTAAAACGTATAATTTAAGCCTTTGTAATAAAAAAATTCAAATATATATTTTATCATCAGTAGATTTTAAATTTTAGTTAGACATTATATTACTAATGAACTAATTGCTGCTCCAAAAACTGAGTCCTTTTATTAAAGAATACAGAAGTACATAGAAGTTCACAAGTCCCCTTTTTTATCTACCCAGATTCATCTTAGTTACTACCGGGACCACCAGTGGGCAATAGTAGGTACTTAACGCGATGACGGTACAATACTATCAAAGAATACTATATCCTATTCGCTATCCATTGCAGCTATGATTTAAAAAAAACCTGTAAAAAAAATATTATTCTAGGACTGTAAAGATGCAATGAATGAATCGAATGCAATCTCTTTTATAGATTGCAACTTAAATTTCAACAATTTTTGACTGCTCCCTGGTATCTGTAAATACATAAAAGTTATTAAAAAACATTATAAAGTAATTAGTTTCTGTATATTAAATGGATAGAAGGAATCAAGGAAAGGAGTAAAGGAATATGATATAAATTAGGAAGTTAATAGAAACTAATTACAATTATAATGTTAATGGTAAGCGGTCTTTGGCTGGATTTTACTTGCAATGGAATGTATATCATATAAAATATGATAAACATTATACTGAAAGTAAAACACCATTGCCCAGGTCTAACCATGAGGAGGTAACCGCTTCTGAAGACCCATGATGTGCATCCTGAATTTTAACCAACCGTAGTTTTTCTATGCTGCCCTAATTCGCGTGGTGGGTTAAAATTATCACTTTTTTAATTATCAATAACTTGTGAAATAATTAATAATTAAGGCAAACAATTATGGATTAACAATGGGATGTTAGTGAGCTAAAAGTTGCACATATTAGCTTCTTACTGCCGGAGGTGCTCCATGCTGTCCTAATTCTGTAATAAGTTACCATTAGATCTGGGTCGGTAAGATAAAGGTAGAACACTACTATTATCGACATGATGCTTAGCTACGTTACTAGAATTTCAATATATTTTAAACTTGCTTATTTCCTAGTAACTTTTAATAGCAAGTAGTGTACACAAATTGTATGTGTAATTATATTCTGTATACATTTAAAAACAAACAACAATTAGAAATCTAATATAGATATTTTGTTTTAATTATTAATTAAAGGAGTTTACTCGTTAAGAACGATTGTCTTGGAACAGGTACAGAGAAAAAGAGTTACGAGATTAAAAATAAAACTGATATCATATTGGAGCTAGAAAGACCGGAGAAAAACGGACAAACAATAAGTCAGCAATTGATTGAAAACAAAAAACAATAGAAAACTTCATTGCTTTGCTTAGAAATGAGAAAAGACGTTTTTGTTGTTTTAATTATTACTAACTAATTAATTAATAATTAATTGATGAAGTGTGCAATTAGAGATTTTAAATGTGCAACTAATGTGCAAATAAGAGCATGTATTCATTGTTTTCTGCTTTCAAGGTTCCCTGCCAGCATTCCTACGGTATTTTTTTCTTAACGTCGAATAACTCAATTGGTAATAGTAAATCGTTTTGTAGCAAAATAATCAATATTTATTAATTATCTAACAAATATCTCGAGAATCAAATCGTATATCTAAAAACAGAAAAAAGAAAACATTTGGTATACGAGTGTAATTTCAATTTTTGAAAAAAAAAGAGATGAAGAAATAAAAAAATTTAATTAAATAACGATACGAAATCATTTAGACACATTAAGTCATTATTACTATTGTTTAATAAATCTCTTAACGTTATTATAAACATATCCATGTGATTCTCGTTTAGTAAACGGCATTAAATGGGCAAGAAGTTCGGGGTTACAGGTCTTAAGTTAAAAGCAATTGTCCTGGAGGCTTCCAAGAGTCGTTTAGGAACGTTAGAAGGAGGTAGAGAAGTTGAAGGTTCTCTTCTGTGAAAGAGAGTAAAGGACTCGTAATCTTAGTGATAGAGTTAGAGAGAGAGAGAGAGAGTTTCTATGCGAGCTTCTCTTCCCCATAAATGACACCTAACGCATGAAATATACCGCGGGAAGCAATTAATGGCTAATGTGAACGGCCACGCCATAACGTTTCTATATTATTATTACTCGCGTTTGGAACAATCGATTTATACCTTCCTACGTAGTCTGAAAAATCTTTCAACTCTAACGCCCTTTTGACCAATGATTTTTCTTTTATATTATGAATCAACTTAAACTTATTAATTTCCTTTATCTACTGTTAGTTAATTTGTAATAAAGATACTTGATCGAACTTACCGGAAATTGAAGATATAAAAATAACAATCCCCCCTTACTCTTTACTATTTCAATTTTATAATTTAAATCACACATTTTTCCTAATCACATTCTACCGGTTAATTTGCTTTTCGTATATTTATTAACCTAAACGAGGAGATAGAATTAATTTAATTTTGAAGAAATAAAAGGCATTAACGAGATGTGTGTGTGTGTGTGTGTATACGATAGAGAAAGGGTTGATCAAGATTTCCATGAAAAGACACGTTTTACTAGTGGATATATTATATCGTGCATAGATATCGTAGAAATAAAATATAAAATGAAAATAAATAAAGAAGGGGGGTAGGAGAACGTAAAGAAGAATCTGCGTTGAGCCGTCAATACGTTATCTTTAAGCGGACTCGTTGACACGTACCGTAGAATTCTGAAACCAGTTCGTGAGAGACTTTAACATCGATACTTTGCTTTGGAGAAAGCACCTAATTATCGAGATAACGCGTATTTGCCGTGTCGATATCGTTTCACGCGCGTATCGACCTATTCTCTCTCTCTTTCTCTCTCTCTCACTCAATCTACTATATAGTTACTCCCACGGTATCTTGAAACTTGTCGTTTCTAAGAGATCCTTCCACGTCCTTCCCTTTTTTGATCTTCTTTCTTTGTGTAGACCTCATTTTAATTCAATATATTATAAAAAAATATCTCAACGTAAATTCCATTTTTTTCTTTTTTTCAAATATAATACTTTAACAAAAAATAATTATTGGACCTTTTTCATTATGGAAGTAATGTATAAGTTCATTTGCTTGAACAAAATTGATTTCATCGATTTAATAATAATCAGTGTATTATCGTATAATAATAATAATAATAATAATAAATTATAAAACACTGACGATGAGGAAGAACGTGGAAATCACATAGAATATATATTTCTTTTCTTTCTTTTCTTGTTTTATTCCTTACTTTAATAATGTCTTATGCTGAAGTTAAAGGGGAGGAGGGACTTTACGTAAAAGCAGTGTTTCCCTTGATCTTCTAAATAAGATCCCTGGAACGATAATTTCCCTTTGACGTTTGGGTGTTAGTGTCTAGTAGAAAATACCGTTTTCTATGTTTTCCTTCGAGGCAGAGACTGTCTCTTCTTCTTTTTCTTCTTCTCAAGGAAGTTTCTGGAACATATACATACGTACAGATAAATCCAAATAAAAAATATATACATATAATGTATATAACTATATATATATATGTATTTACTTATACATAAACATATACATATACACATATATATCGTAATATATATGCATACGAGAGATATCTTATGCTACGCGACGACTTTCATTTAGATCTTTATCGATCAACTTTCACGATATAGTCGCCATCATGCATGTATGTTGTATACCAGTAAGTATGTTGCGTTGCATCGTCCATGACGTAGCTTTCCCGTGAACATTATATCGAAGAATTATATATCATTTCATCTCGTTTTGCACGTAGGGTAGTCAAGAAGAGAGAGAGAAGAGTACAAGAAGAGAAAAGAGATCGTATACTTACTAAAGGGTGATTGAAATAAATCTAAACTTTTACTAAGGACAATGATAAGAATCGTAGAGTACCTCTCTGTCAGTTTAACAGATCCTTCCTCCTAATCCTCCTCCCAGCCCGCCTTCATCCAAGTACCAATTCCAAATACCTTTAAATAAACAAAATACAAATAAACTGTTTTATATATTTAAAATTGATTATCACCACATGATCGAATACTTCTGATTGATATCGATGATCGATCGATATAATAAATCTTTCCATCATCCTTTTTTTTTCTTTTTAATTTAATTTTTTTTGTTGTGTACCTTTTTTTAAACACGATAAAAGGAGTCACGATATTGGGACTTGTAAAAAAGAAAAAGAAAACAGACAAAACACAGTGCAACGAAAAATAAAAAGAAGTAGAAGAAGAAGAAGAGGAGGAGGAGGAGGAGGAGGAAGATCTTGAGCTCCTGGAATCACTTCCTCCATTTCCATTGGACCGATTTTGTACGGAGAATCGCTAAGTGCATTCGTGTGCTTTTTTTTCCTCCGTTCCCCTCCACCCCGCCACCACCTGTAAGTTTCTCACCGTCGGTATCTCTCCCTTTCTCAGCCTACTTCAAAATCGTTTCTCGGGTAATAGGTATATCCGCGACGACTTGCTTGGTGTCCACCAGTTGGTTGCTTTCGTGCAAGATGGCGACGGACGGAAAGAGAGAAGAAGAACAAGAAGAAGAAGAAGAAGAGAAGGAAGAGGGTTGACTTTTTATCGCGCTCGTGTCATTAGCGAAGCAGCAGCAGCAATGAGTGTCCTATAACGTTCGTATCAAGGATCCACAAGTTGAAAAGTTCCACCTCTTTCTGTTAAGAGGAAGAAGGACGAGGGAGAAGGGCGAGGAAGGATCTTGCTGCTTTCTGCGTCTCTGAATCGTCCTTCTCGTTATTAGGATCACTCCTCCTCCTCCTCCTCCTCCTCCTCCTTCTCTTTCTTCTTCTTCTCCTCCTCTTCTTCCTCCTTCGCTTCACCTTCTTATTCTTTATCTTTTTTTTTCTCTTCCCTTTTTTTCTTCTTCCTCCTCTTCTTCTTCTTCTTCTTCTTCATCATCATCTTTCTCTTTCTCGCCATCGTCTTTTCTTCCGCACTTAAAATCATGGCCGCACGTAACCGTCTACTGATTATATGGATTCGGCGATGATTTCTGATGATGCCTCCGACCCTCGAAATGGTAAAATAATACAGTGTCGTCTCCTAGCCCGGACCCAAAGGGTCCTGTGGGCCGGTTCGTTAGCGGGGCCTTGGCGCGAGGCACCCTGTCATTATGCGGCTGGTCTCCATCACCCCCACCACTAACCAATTTTCGTTGCACCCAA